TTATTAGTAGTAGTAGTAGTGGTAGTCGTAGCAGTAGTAGTATTTATATTCGTGGTAGTAGTAGTAGTAATAGTAGTAGTAGAAGTAGAAGAAGATGTAGAAGTAGAAGAAGTAGTAGTAGTAGTAGTAGTAGTAGTAGTAGTAGTCGTAGTCGTAGTCGTAGTCGTAGTCGTAGTCGTGTCGTAGTCGTAGTCGTAGTCGTAGTCGTAGTGTAGTAGTAGTAGTAGGTCGTAGTAGTCGTAGTAAGTCGTAGTAGGTTCGTAGGTCGTAAGTAGTAGTTCGAGTAGTAGTTCGTAGTAGCGTTAGAGTGGTAGTAGTAGCAGTAGTAGTAGTAGTAGTAGTTAGTAGTAGTAGTAGCAGTAGCAGTAGCAGTAGCAGTAGTAGTAGTGTAGTAGTAGTAAGTAGTAGTAGTAGTAGTTAGCAGTTAGCTTCAGCATTAGTAGTATTGGTAGCAGTAGCAGTAGTAGTAGTAGTAGTAGTAGTAGTAGTAGTAGTAGTAGCAGTAGTAGTAGTAGTAGTAGTAGTGTAGTCGTAGTCGTAGTCGTAGTCGTAGTCGTAGTCGTAGTCGTAGTCGTAGTCGTAGTCGTAGTCGTAGTCGTAGTAGTAGTAGTAGTAGTAGTAGTAGTAGTAGTAATAATAGTAGTAGTAAAAATAGTAGTAGTAATAATAGTGGGGTGAGGAGGAGGAGGAGGAGGAAGGAAGTGATGGAGGCAGGAGGATGATGAGGAGGGGAAGGGGGAGGGGGAGGGGGATGAGGAGGAGGAGGAGGAGGAGGAGGAAGAGGAGGAGGAGGAGGAGGAGGAGGAGGAGGAGGAGAGAGGCAAGGAGCTGGGGCTTCTGCTCCCCAGGAATGGTGGCAGTGGAGCTGGGAACGCGCCAGGCACATGGGCGCGCGGTCGCCCTAGGGGGGGCCTAGGAGCAATCAGACCGCCCCCCCCCCCCCGAGGCGGAGCAGCACATAAAGATAACCCAGCATCCCTGGTCATCCTACTACCCCCCCCCGTTCCTCCCCTTCCTCCTCTCCCCCACCTCCCTGCCCCTCACGAGCTGACAACTAGCACCCATACCCATGCGACCCATCGAATTCTGGGGGTGGAGTTCCCCAGGGGCCATGTGTGTGCGTGTGTTGTCGGACGGGGGTCCCCGCTTCGAGGGGGGGACACCCTCGGGGTACGACAGCCCGCGCGCATACCTGCGGCGCCTTCATCTCACTGACCTTCCCCATGCATCCTCCCTGCAGGGTTCGAGCGTGTGTTGTTCTTCCATCACCCCCCCATCCCCATTTTTCGGCTGCAAGCGAGGGGGGGTCGATGAGAGAAGGAGAAGGCCCTCTCAGAAGGGGGCGGGACTCCCCGGAGGCCCCCGCGCCTTCTGAGAGGTTTCCTTTGTCTTCGGTGGAGGCTGAGACAACTTCCCAGCAGGCCAGGGGACGTTGAGCCCGCCCCCTCTCTCTTCCCCCCCCCGGGCGCGCCGCCACTTCCCCCCCCCCCCCTTGCACCCGTCCCCGACGCCTCTCCCCTCGTGCTCCCTTCCGCCGAGCGCGCGCTTCGGCGGGCCCGGCGCCTTCTTTTGTTTGGGGCGCGCTCGTTTTTGCTATAGAGGCCCATGCAAAGAAACACCCTGCTTGCCTCCAGGGTGCCCTGGGCTTCTTGGGTTTCGATGGTCTTGCTAAGGAAAGCGTAATGTTCCCACAGTAAAAAACCGATGAATCCTCGGGTCTCAGGGTTCGATTTCTTGTTGAAGGTTTCTTGTGGTCGGGCCTCCACTGGAGGCCTCCCAGATTGGGTCGGGGTAGATGCGGTCGGAGGATCGCTCCGCATCGCCGATGCATCGCCGATGCGGCTCCATGCGGAGGCCGATTTTCTTCACGCTAGCGTCGCCGATGTAACGCCGGTGCATCGCCGATGCATCGCCGGTGCATCGCCGATGCATTGCCGATGCGTCGCCGATGCATTGCCGATGCGTCGCCGATGCATCGGCGATGTATCGGCGATGCGGCGCGATCCTCCAACCCCATGTACTCCGACCCCATCTAGGAGGCATCTATTGTCGGTGTTGCCGCCCATCTCTTGAGGGTGCCTTGAATGGCTCCTGGGCGGTCACTACGCCTGCTTGCAGGGCCGCCTCGAGCTCCGGGACCCGCCGTCTCGGCGGCGAGCCCGGGGGGACAGTGAGAAGAAGACGGCCTCCTCAGAAGGCTCGGAAGTCCCCCCGCCTTCTCAGAAGTTTTTTGCAAGCCTTCCCCTAAGACAGGAAACCTCTCAGATGGCTGGTGGGCTTCTGAGAGGCCCCGCCGCCTTCTGAGAAGGTCTTCTCCTTCTAATTTCCTTCCCTCGCTCGCCTCCGATAAACGGTGTGGTGACCACACCGCGTGTGGAGAGTCAGCGGGGATTCGGGGTCGCTGCGCGGTTTTGGGACTCGGGCCGTTTTCCGAGGGTCGATGTCTCGGGCGACTGGGGCCTACGAGGTACCAAGACCGTGCGGTGGCGGACCGCGCGGTGAGGGCGTTGGGGATTCCGAGGTCACCACACGGTTTGGGGGCCCCGAATGGATCCCCAGGACCTTCTCGACCAGCCCCCTTCTCGTCCTTCTCCTCCTCCTTCTCCTCCTCGCTGCCCGCCTCGTCCTCTTATTCATCTTTCTCCTCCTCGTCCTTCTCGCCCTGTTCCCCAGCCTCTGGCCAGCGCCTCCACGGGGGAGAGCGTTGCGCAGCTCGATCGGTGTACCAGGTGGTCATATGAGAAGGCTCCTCCTCCTCCTCCTCCTCCTCCTCCTCGTTGCCCGCCTCGTCCTCTCACTCCTCCTCCTCGTCCTTCTCGCCCTATTCCCCAGCCTCTGGCCAGCGCCTCCACGGGGGAGAGCGTTGCGCAGCTGGATCGGTGTACCAGGTGGTCATACGAGAAGGCGCTGCCGCGCGCGAGCTCATCTTACTTTGCCTCTAGGCAGTGGCAGTTGCCGCGAGACTTCTTCGACTCGACGCGTCCTCCTCGTCTTTTTCCTCCTCCTCCTCCTCCTCCACTTGGCTCCGCCTTTGGTGATTGGGCGTTCGGATCCCCGTTGCGAGCGTACGACAACGAGTTGAGCGGTCAGGACCCCGTGGGCTTCGGTGACCAAGCTGGTTTAGCACCAGGTGGCAGCACGGAGAACTTCGACAGCGGGTGCGAGACGGAGCCCAAGCACGACCGCGTGATCCCGCTCGCGACCGCGTGATTCACGTTGACCTATGGTTTGATTCAGGGTTTTCAAACGGTCGTCTTCCCGAAAGGAAGTTCCTTCAATGGAAATGAACCGTTGTAGGGCCCTACACAGAGGGAGCTTGGAGGAGGGAGGGTTTATTCCAACATCATTGGTGATTCTTGGGTTTGCACAGGTCCTCCTCGTCCTCCTCCCCCATCCTCTTCCTCCTACTCCTCCTCCTCCTCCTCCTCCGCGTCCTCCTCCTCCTTCTCCTCCTCCTCCTCCTCCTCCTTCTCCTCCTCCTCCTCCTCCCTCTCCTCCCAGCTCCCCTCTTCCTTTTTGTTCCTCCTCTTCCTCTTCCTCCTCTTCCTCATCACTCATCACTCATCCTCCTCCCTCCTCCTGCTTGCCCCGGGGTCCCGAGTCCGATGGCAACCTCTGGGGCGCGAGCGCGCTTCGGGCCGCGCTCGCCCGCCGCGCGCGCGGGCCCCGCGCGCCCCGGCCGCCAGACGCTGGCGCGGGCTCCTCCGCCGCCGGCCTGCTTGCCGCGCCCCGGCGGGCGCCCAGCAGCACCTTCAGGCCCGGGCCGCCGTGCCGCAGGCCTCCGCGGGCCTCTGCGCTGCCGCCGGCTGGCGCCAGGAGCCCGCTGCGCCGCCTTGGCGAGCCTCGCGCCCGACCGCCGCCGCCCGCGGCCCCGGCGCCTCCGCCGCGGTTTCCTCCTCCGCCGCCGCCGCCGCCGCCGTCTCCTCCTCCTCCTCCTCCTTCTCCTCCCTTTCCTCCTCCTCCTCCTCCTCCTCCTCCTCCTCCGCCTCCTCCTCTTCCTCCTTCTTTTCCTGCTCTTCCTCCTCCTCGGCCTGGCCGCCGCCGCCTCTGCCCCCTCCTTCTCCTCCTCAGCGCCGCCCTCCTCGCGCCCCTTCCCCTCCTCGTCCCAGTCAGTGCAGGCCCGCCACTTGGCGCAGTGTCCGCGCCATTTGGCGATGGACAGCGCAGCTGACCGCGCAGCAGGCGCGCGCCAGCTCGGCCTGCTGCTCGTCCTGCGGCAGCTGCCGCACGCGTGGCTGACCAGCCACTGGCGCGCCCCTCTGCGCCGGACCGCCCCGCGGTCTCCACGGCAAACGCTATCAGCCGTTCGCCGGTATAGCCTTCGCGCTTCTCCCGCTCTGCGCGGCGCGAGGCCCGACGTGCCCTCCGCGCAGCGACGCGGCCACGGCCGCGGGGTGGCGCGCGGTGATGTCCACCCATGGCCTGCCGTCCACGCCTTCGTACAGCGCTGGAAAACGGTGGGGCCGGCACCTTCGGCCGGGCGCCAGGGTCGAAAGCAGTCCCAGATGGGCACGCCGCGCGTCCACCGAGCTCGCCGCGGCGCTGGACGACGCCTCCCCTGGGCTGGGAGGTGGCCGCGTGGTAGCCGTCCTCGTTAACGGGCGCGTGGGGCCTCCTCTTTCTCCTCCTCCTCCTCCTCCTCCTCCTCCTCCTCCTCCTCCTCCTGCTCCTTCTCCTCCTCCTCCTCGTCCTCCCCGTCCTCCTCCTCCTCCTCCTCCTCCTCCTCCTCCTCCTGTTCCTTCTCTCTTCCTTCCTCCCTATCCTCCTCCTCCCCTCCTCCTCCTCCTCCTCCTCCTCCCCTTCCTCCTCCCTCCTCGTCCCCCTCTCCCCCCCCTCCTCCCCTCCTCCTCCTCCTCCTCCTCCTCCTTCTCCTCCTCCTTTCCTCCTCCTCCTCCTCCTCCTCCTCCTCCTCCTCCTCCTCCTCCTCCTCCTCCTCCCCCTCCTCGTCCCGTTGTTCCTCCTCCCCCCTCCCAAGCCCTGTCGAGCCCAGCCCCCGCCAGGCGCCTGGCCACGTCCCCGGCGCCGGCGGGGCTCTCGCTGGGGCGCGTCGGCGCCGAGGCAGCGGCGGAGGTCTTCGGCGGCAGAGTCCGACACCAACCTTCGCCGATCCACGATCCAGACCCCCTCGAGCTGTTGGGCAAAAGCAGCGCGACGGGAGCTTCTTCGCTGTTTTCGACCTCTGGGGACCCTTGCCGGGCCTCGGGGCCGTCAAAAAACGACTCGGGACGAGAAGCGGGTCCCGGGAAATGGGTCGAGGCCTCTGGGGGTCAACGTTGTGAAAAAGTCACGGCGTCGGGGAGCTGGGATTCCGGCAGTTCGATGGTTTGCGGGGGCAGGGTTCGGAGCACCGAGCACGCGTGGCGAGACCCGAGCCCTGCCCCTGCCCCCCATGGATTCAGGAGCGTCGATGGTTGGCGGGGGTAGGGTCATGTCGGGGGTGTCCCCCATACAGGGGGATGTTCGACGAAACATAAAAAAAGACCCCCAAAATACTCCAAGAAGGTCAATACATACTCCAAAAATAGTCCCCGCAATCTTTCTTATCATTTTTTGGAACAAATATACTTTTGGTCTGTTTTTATTTTTCGTCGAAAATCCCCCTGTAGGGGGACGTGCCCGACTTAAGGGTAGGGTGCGGATGTCGCCGCCCAGGTCTTGGGCGAGCTGGGCCCGCACTGGGGCAGCTGGGGCCAGCGCGGCCTCGTGGAGGCCTCGGGGGCGTCGGTCGGTCGGACCTGCAGCAGAGGGCCTTAGCTCGGGCCGGACGAAAGGGGGGGATCTGGAAAGGGGGGGTTACGAAATTTGCTGCACGCAGCTGGTTTCGACCTCGCCGAGGGGCCCATTCCTCGATGCATGGGCGCCTCCGGCGCCGGGAGGCGCCGGGAAAATCAGCTACGTTAGCTGATTCTCAAACCCCCCCTTTGCTATCCCCCCCTTTCGCCCGACCCGATTAGCCAGGCGTGGGAGCCATGGCGCAGTGTTCACCGCTACCAGAAATCGGGCTCTTGATTGTGGAAACCCTGAGGTTTTTTTTTTCCGAAAAGGAATAAACAATAGTATCAGAATCGGAATTGGAACGGAGCAAACAACTCGACGGAATCATACTTCGTGCAACACTACAGACGAGCCGGAGGAAACACACACAAGATAATCAGGAGCAGCATGTGTTCTGCCGTTTCCAAGCCCTACAGTGTGGGGGACCCTGACAAGAAACACCCTGCGTTTCGTCAGGGGTCCCTGGGTTTCTTTGGCTGGCTTTCGGCGCGGATGGTCGCCGCAATCTCAAAGAAACTGCACTTGCCAGGGCACACTGTTTTTTTTTTTGGGCGTCAGTCAGTTTCGGGCCGCGCGCCCGAACCTCCAAGAAACTTCCGGACAGTCGGGGTACCTTGGGTTTCTTCGCCCGCCAGCCAGATTCATTGCCCCGAGTTGCCCATCCACCCGCGTGGGTTCGCCACCTTGGCCTGAGTCAAGTGGGCGCAAAGTTTCTTTTCTCCTCAGAGGAGAAGTCATGGCCTTACTGTTTGTGCAAGGCCCGCAGCTCTCATTTTCGATCGCCGTGGGTTTCTGGATGTGATGTCGAATTGCTTGACGCCATCAGTCAATAAACCGCTCGGGCCAGGGTGCCCTGGGTTTCTTCGTTTGCAGCCAAGGTGCAAGACACCCAACCCCGGACCAAGAAACCTCGGCGGATTGCAGGGTCGGTTTTTTGTCGGTGGGCTTCATTTGGATCGACCCCCATTATACGGAGGTGTGTGTGTGTGTGTGGTTGGGTGTGCTGTTCTAGTCGGCTGTCCCCTCCGTGTGTCTCCGTTGCGTGATTTCTTGTGGGTGAGCCTTGCGCACCTCGCCGTGGCTGCTGCGTGACTGCGCGACGGCGCGGTCTCGAATCCGGCCTGTTTTATCGTGACTCCGCAGTGCCGCCGCGCGCAAGGCCGCGACGCGGAGAAGCGTGCTCGAGAGTGAACGCGATGACCAGGCCAAGAACATCTCCTAGATGTCCCGGCCGCCAGATCTGTGACCGCATCCCCTGGCCACCCCTCACCCGCGCACGCGCACTGGACCATGCTGCGAGCAGGAGGAGGAGGAGGAAAAGGAGGAGGCCACTGGCTTGCCTTCATCGGCGCACCCGAGGGTCGGTCCCCTCGAGGACCGAGCGCCGAGTGTTTCGAGGATCGATGTGCTCTCTGCGCTGCTCGTGCTCTGGAGGCCTCCTGGGCCAGGCCGAGGAGCTTGGCATGCCCAGGCCCCTTTGCGTGGCGAGGCAAGCACGACGAGGCGCCCCTCTTGGGGCCCCTGCTTGGGCCCCTCCTCCTCCTCCTTCTCCTCCTCCTCCTCCTCCTCCTCCACCTCCTCCTCCTCCACCTCCTTCTCGTCCTCCTCTCCTCCTCCTCCTCCTCCTCCTCCTCCTCCTCCTCCCCCTCCTCCCCCCCTCCCCCCCTCCTCCTCCTCCTCCCCTCCTCCTCCTCCTCCTCCTCCTCCTCCTCCTCCTCCTCCTCCTCCTCCCTCCTCCCCTCCTCCACTTCCTCTCTCCTCTCCTCCTCCTCCTCCTCTTCCTCTCTCCTCCTTCTCCTCCTCCTCCCCCTTCCTCCACTTCTTCCTCCTCCTCCTCCTCTCCTCCTCCTCCTCCTCCTCCTCTCCTCCTCCTACTCCTACTCCTCCCTCCTCCTCCTCTCCTCCTCCTCCTCCTCCTCCTCCTCCTCCTCCTCCTCCTCCTCCTCCCCTCCCCCCTCCCCCTCCCCCTCCCCCTCCCCCTCCTCCTGGCTCTCGGGGCCCCTGCTTGGGCCCCGGGGCCGTCCAGGAACCAACGGCTCGGGAGGAACGGCTGGCCGTGGGGAAGTCGTCGTGGGGCCTTTGGCTTCGGGCCCAATACATGAATAGGGGGCCACATGCGAACCCTACCCCTACCGCCCACGACTTCTGAGGGGGAGGGTGGGTTTCACTTCGCTCGGGAGGTCCCGAACAAAGTGAACCCCACCCTCCCCCTCAGAAATCGTGGGGGGTAGGGGTAGGGTTCGTGACGTCCTGGGGGGGGGGTCGCCTTGAGAGCCCCAAGGGGAACACTGCTCGGGGAAGCGTAAGATTCGAGTGCGCCAGAACTCGGGTTTGCCGACGCTTTTTGACGAGCGCGTCCTGGACTTGGACGGTCGGGTTTTCGTGGGATGTTTGCAGCGGGAGCTCGCGTCAAGTTTCAGACTGGGTCTCGTCAATGTCATGATGGCCCTGTCAGGCCAATCCGAGTCCCCCGAATCCGAGTTTCACGTCTCCCCGAATCGCCGAAAGATAAACCGTCGGAGGTCCGCGCGGAATTCTTGGATTGGCCATGGGACCGCCTGGTGGCGCCTCCGGCGCCGGGGCTCGGCGCAGATCCCACAAATCCGCGCGGATCTCCGAATGGATGTCTGTGCAGGTTTGTTTCGCCCGAGCAGCTCGTGGGGGGCCTCTTTGTGAGGCCTCGAGAGAGGAGCGGCCTTCCGGGAAGGGGGGCCTCCGCGTGGAGCTCCAGAAACCTTTCGGGGGGGACGGCTTCCGTTTTAGTCACATGGGGCCGTGTGGGGATCGCTGCTCCTCCGCACGGCCATCCTCCCCCGCTCTCCCTCCTCTGCACTCCTCCACTCTCCTCCTCCCTCCTCTCCTCTTCTCTCCCTCTCTCTCTCCCCCTCTCCCTCTCTCTCCATCTCTCCCTCTCTCTCCTCCTCTCTCTCACTTCTTCCTCCACCCCCCCTCTCTCCCTCCTCTCCACTCCTCCACTCCTCCTCATCCCTCCTCTTCTCCCTCCTCCTCCGCCGCCTCCCCTGTGGGTTGAGAGGCTGCCTGACTGCATGGGCGGAGGTCTCTCGCTCCCCCCACCCCACACTCCAGGCCGTCGGGTGTGCCGCCAGGGAAAGAACCCATAGACCTCCCCATTGTCGCGAGAAGATCCGCGACGGCCCGCTTCCCCATCAGTTCGGGGGTCTGGGGGCTGCTGTCTCATCCGTTGGGGTATCTGCGGTCCGGTGCCAGGCGCCAGGGCAATCGGACCACTGCCGAGGATGATAGGCCGGGCCCCGGGGAAGCTCCCTCCCCCTCGACTCCTTACCTTTTACCCTCCCTTTCCTCCCGCTCGGCCCACCTCCTTCAGGTCCCTCCCCTGCCCCTTCCTGCACTATCCCCGCTCATCTCATGTTCCTTCTTTCGCAGTTGCTCAATCTGAGCTCGACTCGCCTATCTCCGCCGGAGATGGCCTGTGAGTGGCGCGCCCCCCTCCGAGCAATGCTTTTTTTATTCAGAGGATGGGTCCGAGCTGGCTTTTCTGTAATTTTGTTCCAGTCCGAGCATTTTCGGTCCTTCCAACTGGTGCTCCCGCTGCAGCGTGGGCCTCAGCAGCTGTTCTGGATCCGAACCCGTTCCCTTCCTCCACCTTCTCCTTGTCATCTTGCTCCTTCCGCTCAAGTGCGTGTTGTTGCTGTTCGTCATCGTCCTCATTCCTCCTCCTCCTCCTCCCCCTCCTCCTCCTCCTCCTCCTCCTCCTGTTTCTCCCTGCTCATTCTCCTGCTCATCCGCCACCTCCTCCTCCTCCCCCATCTCATCCTCCTCCTCCTCCTCCCCCTCCTCCTTCTCATCCTCCTCCTCCTCTTTCTCCTCCTCCATTCCTTCTCCTTCTGAAAATTGTCTCCCTGTGGCACCCCGAAGCCAGTTGTTAGGGTGGGCAGTGCTTTTCGCCCGAAACTTCCCTACCACGTAATTTCGCTTCTGAAGCTGACGAATCGACAACAGTTTCACAGATGGAGGGCGGGCCGTCTTTAATATGTGGCTCTCGCTGTAGCGCCGCGCACGTTCTTTTTGAATATTTGCAAGTTGTTCACGGATTGAGGGCGGGTGGTTCTCAAAACGTGGTTTTCGCCTTAGCGCCGCGCGCATTCGTTTTAAGAAGATCATTACAATATTTGCACGGATCGAGGGCGAGTCGTCTTCAACATGTGATTATCGCTATAGCGCCGCGCACATTCGTCTGAAACATGTGCAACAGTTTCATGAGTTGAGGGCGGTTCCTTTTCAACATGTAGTTCTCGCCTTAGCGCCGCGAGCACTCGTCTCAAACATGTGCAAGGGTTTCAAGGATTAAGGGCGGTTCCTTTTCAACATGTGGTTCTCGCTGCAGCGCCGCGCACACTCGTCTTGAGCATTTGCAAGAGATTTACGGGTTCCCAGGATCAACGTACCAGAAATGGAAGAATCAGGCTTATGGCGGTGCACAAGTTATGTTGGCTCGCGGTGCCCAAGACCCAGGAATGGCGTTCTGGCACGATCCAGGAACGTCAAGACGCAACAGCCAGGTTGATCCGTGGCAATGGAATTCCGAGAATAATGTTCTGACGTGCTTCAGGGTCTTCAACCATTCGTCCTCCAATGAGGTCGTTCCTTCCGTAAAAACGGAACGTTGCAGGGGCCTGCGACGAGGGAGCTTGTAGGGAGGGTTTACTCCAACATCGTTGATGACTCTTGGGTTTACACTGGTCCTCCTCCTCCTCCTCCTTCCCCCTCCTCCTCCTCCTCATCATCCCCCTCTCCTTTCTCCTCCTCCTCCTCCTCCTCCTCCTCCTCCTCCTCCTCCTCCTCCTCCTCCTCCCCCTCCCCCTCCCCCTCCTCCTACGTACGCAGCTCTCCTTCCCCGCCTGTGCAGCCCACGGTGGGGCCGTTCTTGGCATACCACATTTGCCCTGGCACGCGCCCGCGGCTAGAGAGAAACACAGACCGCTCTGCGGGCAGGGCGGCAGACGTGGCGTGCGCGCGCCTGGCCTGTCCTCCCTCCCTTCCCCGGTTGTCCCCCCGCCCCTCCGCATGGCGGAGGCGGAGGGGAGGGGGAGCCCGTGGGGGGGGGGGGCGGGGAGGGGGCCAGGGGGGGGGGGGAGCCACGGGGGGCGGGGGGGGCGGGGAGGGGGGGAGGCCGCCCTCCGCCTCGTCCCTCCTCCTTCCCCCCCTCTTCCCCCTCCCCCCTCCCGCTCTTCCCTCCGCCCTCCTCCACCTTCCCTCCTCCCCCCTCCGCCTCTTCGCCCCTCCCTTTCTCTTCTCTCCGCCCCCCTCCTCTTCCCTCCCCCCTCCTCCTCTTCCCTCCTCCGCCCCTCCGCCTCTTCCCTCCTTCCCCCCTCCCGCTCTTCCCTCCGCCCTCCTCCTCTTCCCTCCTCCCCCCCTCCGCCTCTTTGTTCCCTCCCTCTCTCTTCTTCTCCGCCCCCCTCCTCTTCCCTCCTCCCCCCTTCGCCTCTTCCGTCCTCCCCCTCCCCTCCCCCTCCCCTCTTCGCCCCCTCTTCGCCCTCCTCCTCTTCCCAGACTCCCTCCAGAGGTCGGGTGGTCCTACTACAAGGGCGAGTACCGCGAGGCGCTCGACGGGCAGTGGAAGACCGAAGTCCCCCGCGCACAGCCGCTGCAGGACTTCCCCAAGCTGCGGTCGCTCCTGGTCACGGCGATGGAGGCGCTCGACGGACGTCGGCGTCGTGGCCGGCCTCGTCTGCTTCGTCGTCGGCGTCGTCGTTGTAAGCGTCGTCGCCGATGTCGTTTTCGTCGGTTTTCGTTTGCCTGTGCCTGGGGTGATCGGAGGTTCTCGGAATTGGGAGGGTTCTCAGTGGCAACCGCGATATGGCTCCAGCGACCTGCAGCCGCAAAGAGGACCACCGACGGACCGAAGGATAATCACAGCCTGCAACAGAGCCACAGCTGGATCGGAGGCTGCAGCCGACAGGAGAGCTGCTGCCAGAGGGAGAACAATCACCTCAGAGAGAGCAGCAGCCACAAGGAAAGCTACAGCCTGAAGGAACACAGCAGACGTTTCACCTTGAATGAGATCTGTAGCTTGAGGAAGGACTGCGGAACCTATAACCCGAAAGGAGGGCGACAGCCTGAAGGAGAACTATTACCACAAGGAAAGCTCCGGCTACTGCTGGAGACACAAAGGCATTCACAACTGGAGCCCAACGCCCAGAACGAGATCAGCAGCCGAAAAAAGAGCATGAAGGAGTGAGGCAGCATGCAGAACAATCACGACCTGAAGTGGAGCCGCTGCCACACCAATAATAGCCAATAACTTCACATGGAACGAGGGAGAACGAGAGAGAGAGGGAGAGAGACAGAGAAAGAGCTACAGCCACCATGAGGTACGTAGTCCGAACGAGAACTGAAGCCGGAAGGTCAACCAATGTCAACCACAGCCATAACGAGAGCGACAGACAGAAGTAGAGCAACCGCCACAACGGGAGCCACAGAAGGAGGGGTTGCAACCGGAAGGTAAGTTGCTGCCGGAAGGTGAACGACAGCTGGAACAAGAGCTACGACCCGAATGGGCAGTCACAGCAAACCGGAGAGCCAGAACACAATGAGGAGACGGAGCAGGAGGACAGGATGAGCGTCGCGACGGCGTCCTCAAGCTGCTGCTTGAATGTGGGCTCGCCGCGCGCGTCTCAGACAATGAGGCCGATGACGTGTCTCTCAGAAACTAACGCGATCGGGTCGTCTGACTGCGGCCCTCTGGACACGTCGCACCTGCGCCCTTCCACTTCGCAAGCGCACGCATGCGAATCATCGGTCGAGCGTGGGCGTCGTCCGTGCGTGTCGCTTCCCTGCAGTCGAGCACTCGGGTGACGGCATGAGCGGCAGCATCCGCCAGCTAGAACACGTGGGCTCGCATTCCCGTTGGGGTTGAGATTGCAGTCTGGAGCTGTGGCTTAGCGTATCGCGCCGCCGGTTCAAGCCCACCACGCTCCGACGCGACATGCGAACAATGCCCCAGCCTCCGTTCGTCAACTCCCATAGTTGTTTTGTCCCCAGCCTTCCGCCCGCGGAGCGGAGCGACACGCTGTCCGTTTGCAGGGCATCGTGTTATGCTGGTGCCGTCGCCGCGACACGCTGAGCGACGCGAGGCCACGGTTCATTGCGTGAATTTGCCTCTTGCAGGTCGGCTCTTGTTGTGTTCACGGTCTGCCTGGCGACCTTCTGATTCGCACAGCGGTCGAGGCCGAGTCGGGTGACGTTCTATGGTCACTTTCTTTCCTCTTCTTCTCCGGGCAGAATAACAAGTTCCTGACCGTAGTGCTGGAGGCCCCGACGAGCCACGAGGATGATGAGGAGGAAACTGGTAATGGAGGATGACGATTAATAAATGACTGGGTATCGTGTTCACGCGGCGGCGCCCGGGATGACGATTAGAACAAACCGCCCGCGGGCTAGAAAACTATGTTTTAAATCGTTCTCCTCCAGTCAGAAAATGATGCAGAAATCTCAGAAGACCATTTTTTAATCGTTCTCTGCCATTTTTTCATTAATCGTCATCCCGCATTACATTGACAGGCGCAGTGCGAGGAGCAGTCGGCGGCGGCGCGGCACGTGGCACGCCAGCAGGGGGCCCCGTGGTGCGCACGGGCGCGGACGGCGGCCGCCAGGTCGATGGACAGCGGCGACGGACCACCGCGGCCCGGACACCGTGGATGGGGGACACGGCGGCCATGAGCGAGGCAAAAGACCACCGCAGGCACCGGGAGCCGCTCAGCTTTGACAGGGTGGGGGGTCGCGGGGGGCTGGAGGAGGAGCAGCATCACCATGAGTGCGGCGAGCACCAGAAGGAGGGGCACGCCGAGGAGGGCACCGCCGGGGCGCAAGACGAGAATGAAGAGGATGGTGCGGTAGAGGGTGATGCAGAGCAGGCCTCGGACCAGGCAGCTGAGGAGTCCAGGCATGACGAGACTGCTGCTGGCAATCGCAACCCGGCCAGACACCGTGCCAGGAGAGGACGGAAGCGTACCGGGGCGGCAGCCTTGGAAGCCGAGGAGACCACGAAGCAGCCGAAGGAGACACCCCAGGACCTGAGCCAGTCTGGCAGTCGACGTTCACGTCCCTCGGAGGGTGATGGCACGCTCCTGGCAGATTGTCCTCCACAGCGGCCACGCCGTGAAGATCGAGATGCACACGCAGAGCCAAACGGAGGTCAAAGATGGCGCGACGTGCGCCGACGTCCATGTCAAACAGCCCAAGCCGCACAACATCCAGACTGGATGGCAACGCGGCGAGGTCTGGATATGGGATGAGCCTCAGGACAAAGTCTGCCAAGGCTCCGTGGACGCCTCGCGTGGACGCTGCGACCAGGTCTTGCTGCAAGTGGGTGGCCTCTCGACCAGGCCCTACCCCCAGCCCCACAGCGACGGCATCCGGCAGAGGGCGGAAGCGGCGCCACCTCACAGCCTCGAACGTATCCCTTATCCCTAAGATTGACACGCCAAACGGCGATGAAAATCTTAGGGGTTCGCCCTCAAAAAATAAGGGAATCCCTAAGATGGGCATCGTGATGAGGAGGTGCCCCGCATAGGGATAGGGATATGTTCCAGGCTGGTGAACTCCCCTGGCAGTGATGGGCAGCCCCCGACCTTCGAGGGCGCCGGTCGCTGGCCGAGAGAGTCTGTGCACCACCTGCCCTCCGCGGGCTGGGCTTCGGGGCGGGCCGTGCCGAGTCTCTCGGCAGGCCGAGGCCGAGGCCGGCGCCCCTCGGGGCGGCCGCGGCGGAGGTTTTCATAGGAGAGGATGAAGGGAGGGGGCGGAGGGCTAAGGAGGGGAGAAGGGAGGGAGGTGTTCAGGAGGGGATAAGGGCGAAGGTGTTTAGGAGAGGATTAAGGGAGGGGGCGGAGGGCTAAGGAGGGGAGAAGGGGGGGAGGTGTTTTAGGAGGGGATAAGGGAGGAGGCGTTTAGGAGAGGATAAGGGAGGGGGCGGAGGTGTTTAGGAGAGGATAAGGAGGGAGGTGTTCAGGAGAGGATGTGGGGAGGGGGCGGAGAGGATGAGGGAGGGGGCGGAGAGGATAAGGGAGGGGGCGGCCGGTGTCTCGCTCGGGTACGGCCTGGGGCTGCGTGCGCACCGTAGTGCGCACAAGACCACCCAGTCTCCGAGGGCGGGAGCCCTGCCCCGGGGGGGGGAAGGGGGGCGGACTCTCTGCCGCCAGGGCGGCTCTGCCAGGCCCGCCCGGTCGGGCGGGCTTCGGCGGTGGCCACTCGCCCGCCCCGAGGTCGCACGCATGGGCTTCTTCCGTTCTTCGTCGAGGGCGAGAGAACTCCGAACCCGAATGACATGGTGAAGACATGGCCTCACATAGGTCCCCGTGTTCGCATCAGGGAGTCTCAGATCTGGGCGGTTGGGCCTCATACATCTGAGGAAAAAGCCCTGTATCCCTAATGCCTCATGTTCCTGGCTCTCCTAACTTAGGTCGGGATCGGGGTTCTTTTTGTTGCCAATCATCCTTCAGAGGAGAAGAGTTCCCCAAGCCCTTTTACACTGCCTCGGCGCCTCCGTGCAGCGCCACTCGTCGAGTGCACCCGCGCTCTCGCCGTCCGTGCCGGCGATGCGCATCTGCTGCCCGTGGCGCGCCCAAGCCCAGTGCGCGATCGTTGCAGGCCTTGTCTGGCGCTTCCTCCTCGCCTCCTCCTCCTTCTTCGCTAGACCAACCTAAGCGTGAAGCTGTGGCGTTCTTTGTCCTCCTCCTCCTCCTTCTCCTCCTCCTCCTCCTCCACTTCCTCCTCCGCCTCCTCCTCCTCTCCGATGTTTGTCTTTCAGGAGCAGTTCATACCTCCCCTTGTCCTCACGTGAAGCTTGAATCTCGATCGGCTTGCTCGAATCGAGGATCCCTCCGACGGTTGAGCTCTGGGCTGGGCTCGGTGCCTGCGCGGTGTGCCGCATGCGCCGCGGGATCAGATGTCGCTTCGGAGCGGTGCGCAACTGGAGGTGTAGGAGAGGAAAGGAGGGGTCGGAGGTGTAGAGAGAGGAGGTAGAGGAGGAAGTGCAGGGAGAGGAATTGCTGGGAGAGGAAGTGTAGGGAGGGGAGAGGAAGTGTAGGGCGAGGAGAGGAGGAAGGGAGGGGAGAGGAAGCGTAGGGAGAGGAGGCGAAGAAGGTGTCCTGATCGGCAAGGCTTCGGGCTGCGCGCGCACAGCGTCCCCAGGTGGTCCTGGCTGGCGTCTCCTCCAAAGCTGGGATTTATCCATAGCCTCCTCCGAAGGGCATCGATCTTCGGGGGCCTTGGGCGCAACTCTAGGGTAGGTTCGCGTCGTTTCGACCGGCGGCGAACCCGCCGCCGGCGTTCAACGTGGAAGGCCGCCGGCGACCCAGGATCGGTAGATGCCTAACGAGCTGACGTTTCGAAAACGCCCGATCGTGTAAGGTTGAACGATCCACGTGGTGCCAGAAACCATCGCTGGGGTCGACACGACATGAACTTGCCGTATCCATATACACCGCCCGCGGGGGCCCCGTGACGTCGGAACCCCAGGCGGTGGACATGCAGAACTCCCCGCCCCGCATCAACAGCCCCCCCGACGAATTATCAGGGGCGACCATCGGGGGGGATAGGCACACTGGGAGACGCAGCGGCCCCCAATCGCCCATTGGTCGCCGATAGGGGTCGATAGCCCCAAACCCGCCCAGGAGGGTGCGGATTCACCATCGGGGGCCTGTCGCCGATCTATCGCGCCCCCCCGTGTGTCAGTCCCCCCCTGTCGTTGCCCCTCGAATTGGCTCAGGGTGGTCTCTCAGCACCCCGTCGCCGCCTCCAGCGGCGCCCCCTTTGGCGCGATCCGCGCCCGGGTGCCCTGTGATGTTCAGTCTGTTTTGGCCGACGGAGGGTCTCATGTTATTATTAAGTCGGGGTTGTCCCTCTACAGGGGGAAAATTCAAAAATAGTACGACATAGTATGGTGACGTTTTTTATACACAAAAAAATCAGGTTTGATTGTTTTGGAACACTTTTTGGGGGTATTTTCAATTTTTCATGCAGGGGGACATGCCCGACCTAATATTAATCGTTCTGGCCTGGGTCCGACTGTACTCCACCTTCTCCTCCTCCTCCTCCTCCTCTTCCCTCCTTGCACCCTCCACCCTCCTCGCTGCATGCACCCGTGCCGCAGCCAGAAGCCTTCCTTCCTCCAGCCGCCACTGGATGCCTCCTTTGGATCGGGGTCAGGGGTGCGCGGTGCGCCGACACTCCCTGCTGGCGGATGCTCGAGCCCCGGTGCAAGAGCAGGCGGCCCTGCGCGACGCCAGCTCCGAGCACACCTCCGCCGCATCTTGGGGCCGGACGAAAGGGGGGGGAGTGGGAAAGGGGGGGGGTACGAAATCTGCTGCACGCAGCCGGCTTCGGTCTCGCCGCCGGGCCCCTTCCTCGATACATGGAGGCGCCTCCCGGCGCCGGGAGGCGCCGGGAAAATCAGCTATAGGTGAGCTGAATCTCAACCCCCCCCCTTTGCTATCCTCCCCTTTCGCCCGGCCCGAGCACTGGGACGCGGAGCGGCGCGCGGCCACCTGGTCCGGGCACTGCGCCGCGCGGGGGAGGCAGCGGCGCCCCAGGGCGTGGGGCAGTGTGCCTCTCGCCCAAGGGTTCGACGAGGCTGGCCTCGGCCTTTGGCTGCTGCCCGAGAGGCTCTCTCTTTATCAAGGGCATAAAAAAAACGCCCCTGCCCTGGTTTACGAGGCGCTGTGCGCCGAAACTCCTGTGGGCTGACGGGGTAAACTCTGCGTGATGTGCCGCGTCCTGGCGGCTCTGGGCTCTGGGGGCTCCCAGGAGGTGAGCAGACCACGCACTGGTAACCCAGGGCAGGGCCGTTTTTTCATCCCTCAACTGTATGCCTGGCAGCCGACTCGTGCAGGAGCCAGCCGGGACAAAAGGTCATCCTCAGGATTGCAGGCGCCGTCGGGTGAGCTGGACGCTCCGCCGTCAGGGGCTGCAGGCGTGCGGCTCTCCTCCGGCCGAGCAGCCAACGCCTTGAGCCGTCCACTCCTCCCCTCCCTTCTTCTCTGACTCCCTCTTCGCCCCTCCCCTCCCTCCCTCTCGCCCTCCCTGCCTCTTCGTCCCTCCTACCCTCCCTCCCTCCCTCCCTCCCTCCCTCCCTCCGTCCCTCTTCGTCAAAGGCTCGCCGTTGTCTCTCGCCCTCCCTCCCTTCCAGCCCACCCTCCCTCCCTCCCTCTTCGTCAACGACTCTCTCCTCTCCCCTGGCGCCTCCCCCCCCCTCCCCACGAGGCGAAAGCCTGGCAGCCTCCATGCCCAGAACCCCGCAGCTGCGGATGGGAGTGAGGGGTGCTCTCCGGTTCCTCTACAGGAGGAATATTCTAAAGCAGTCAAAAAATAGCCTTGGGCTGATTGTTTCGACTACTTCTTGCAGTTTTTGTTTTAATCTGTTTGGACTATGTTCTATGTTTCGTCCAAAATCCGCCTGTACAGGAACACGCCCGACCGAAGGTTCGCACCCGTGCGGTTGGGGCCTACGGGAAGACGCACTTCAGGAGGGTATGCCAGAGGGCAGACTCCATGCAGAAGCTCTCTGCCAGAGCAGTTGCCAGTCAAGCGAGCGCTAAAGTTGAAGTGTCTTACAGGTAAACACCGCAGAGCCTGGAGAGAATGGAGGTGCTCCCGAGGTTCGGTGATGTCGAGCCCGGACCGAGGGCCAGAGCCTGGAGAGAACGAAGGTGTTCTCGAGGTTCGGCGATGTCAGGGCCTTGCGCATGCGAATACTTCCGTGCGCTGCCACAGACTCGTGACCCAGCGACTCCGATTCCCCCCCCCCTGCCCGTTCTCTGGGACCCCACGGCGCGCGAGCCTGCCAGGCCGGGCCCAACAGCTCGCGTACGACGTTCTCGCATTGCCGTCGCCTCCGTTGGCAGACCGTGGTGAAGCAGGAGCGCCTCTGCACGACGACGCGCCATAGCCGCCGCACGCGGTGCCACGATGACGAAGAAATGCCGCTGGTCAGTTGACATGCGCCGTGAGCCAATGCCAAGCCTGTGCAGGCAACGCAGGCTCTGGAAGGGGCTGGACATGTGCTGTGTCTCTCCAGTGGTATTCGTTCGTCTCTCTTCGCGCACGGGGCGCAATTCAGGCCCAGAAAGGAGTTCGTCATCACCCCAAGGCTGCTCACAGCAACGCTTTGTTTGTACAGCCTCACGCTCTCCCCTGCTACGCACAACACAGCTGTCCTCAGCGTACCATTTCCGAGTGGGGTTGGTGCTTGGTCACGTGACGCATGTTACTCCTCACGCACTTTGAGCGTGAGCGCGCCCTGCTCGCAGTGGTCCACGTGAAACGCGGCACCTTCGGGGGTGATACCCTTCTGAACGACCTCAAAGTGTGACCAAAACCAAAGGTCCCTCCTCCACCCACCGTCATCCATTGCCCTCGTGTTGCTTGCGTCGCTGCGCCCCCATTGAGGTGCTCGGACAACCTCCTCACGGTGACACTTTCGAAGCGCGCCTGAACGTGATCTGCCGCCACTACCTTCAGAATGACAGCATACCGATGCACTTCGATAAGAAGGATTGGTTCGAGGATCGACCAGGGGTAACCTCAGGATGGAGTCGGTGCAGTCCTCTTCCTCAACAGATGCACGCTTCAAATGCCCGAGGTCCCAAGGAATGTATGTATGTGCTATTGTTTCAGGAGCTGCCAGCGTACCAATGATTAATGCATCTGTACGCCTGTTGATTGGCCATCGTCACTGGTTTAACGTGGCAGTGGATCCAAGATTCGCTCGCCAACTCTTCGCGACTGTCAGCGTGTGTTCTCACGGTGTTGTCATCATGAGGCATCGGCCCGCGATCAAGCCGTTGAGGATCTTAAATGGGCAGAGGGGTACTGTACAATGTGGGGGGCGGGGGGTTAGTCTAATTCTTCTCAGGGGGAAGTGGGCTTTTGAGGCCCAACTGATATGATGCAGTCTGTGTAGGAACGCCTATGTGGTGCAGATTATGTAGAGCACCCTACGGTGTGCAAGCCACGCGGCGCAACCCATTTTGTAAAAACGCGAAGTCGCCAATCCCAAATCACGAGAGAGCATCCAACCGCCAGTTCGCAATGTGTTCTCCAATCACAGTAGGCGCAATGACGCGAAGACACTTCCCACGCATGTTCATGATCCGTACTGGTTGGTGATAGTGGTGGCGACGGCACCAGCGACGATGATGACGATACTGATGATGATGATGATGAGGATGAGGATGAGGATGAGGATGACGATGAGGATGAGGATGAGCAGGAGGAGGAGTGTGCTGATGATGCTGCTGATGATGATGCTGCGGATGATGATAGTATAACAGATGTTGGTGATGGTTGTGGTAACGCTGATGATGCGGCCGGCGGCAGCGACGATAAGGATGGCGACGATGCTGGCGACGGTGGTGGTGATGACAACCGCGATGGTGATACATCTACCAGGGATGCTGGATACGCTTGCGATGGTGATGGCGCGTTGATTGGGCTGGACAGGAAGCAAGCGCGCACAGAACGCCCCACCGTCTTCTATTCAACTACACTTGGTTGTGTATCCAGCGGCCTGCGGAAAGTCCCGCCACCCTGCTACCCCAGCATTCTTGGTGGCGACTGTTCGAGGAGGCGCGGGAGGCCATCACGTGTGACACCTTGTGTCCCCAGGTTTGGGCGAGTCCTGATAATACTGCTGATGCTGTATCGTATGAGTATGAGGATGATGGTGCGGAAAATGAAGAGAAGGAGGAGGACGAGGATGAAAATGAGGACGAGTGTGAGGGTGAGAACACTGACGACGATGATGATGTCACTAATGATGATGCCGATGATACGGCTGACCATGCTAATGCTGATGGTAATATAGGTTCTGATCTTGATGATGCTGATGATGACGCTGATGCTGATTATGATGATGCTTGTTGTGATGATGATGATGATGATGATGATGATGCTGATGCTGATGCTGATGCTGATGATGATGATGATGATGATGCTGATGCTGATGATGATGATGATGCTGATGCTGATGCTGACGATGATGATGTGAAGGAGGAGGATGAGGAGGAGGAGGAGGAGGAGGAGAAGGCGGAGGAGGAGGAGGAGGAAGGCCGTCACATGAAAGAATGTCTCGTCTGCACTAGTTTAGGAGCCCTCGTGGAACTCGTTGCGGCCGTCTTGTGGCTGTCTTGGCCTCCTCTGAGGCAGTCTGGGGGGCCCGATGCTCCTAGAACACACACTGGCAGGGGCTCACGCTGGTTAACATAGATGCACCATACGCTGATTGAGGACGGAAAATTATGGCTTTGGTGGGGTGTGGGGGGATGGACAGGGGCGTCGAGGTTTGTCTTGGGCGAGAACGGGTCAATCTTGCGCAATTTCTGTGGTGCAAACTCTGCGTGCGTCGAGAAATGCCAGCCGGCGCACGGTGCGGCAGCCAGCGCCAACTGTCAGGCGATCGCAAACGTGGATCAAGGGGACGCGGGTCAGCGACGGGCCCCGTCTCCATGGGGATCCGCGGGCTTCCGCCGCCGAACGAGGCGGCACCGGCCGCATTTCGGGGAGGGCGCCTCCCCCGATCCAGGGATTTTGGGGCGACCGCGCGCCCTGCCCATGGATCGCTGCTCCATGCTTGCGCGCCCGCGACTGGCGTGCTTCATCCCGCCTCGGCCTCCCGGAGGCTCCTCGTCGCCACGGCCAGAGCCGCGCCGGAGGAGTGGTCCAGAGGGGCCCAGGAGGGGGGGGGGGGTCGGGGGGCAGGGTTTGGACGGGCCTCGGCCGGGCGGGAGGGCCTCCAGTTGCTTCAAGTGGCCCTCCTCCTTGGCATCGCTCGGACGTGTGCGTTTTTCCTTCGGCGAGGACCATCGAGGAGCACCCTTGATCATTTGGCGCAAAAACACGCACACACACACACACACACACGAAACCGACAAAAAAACACAGGGAATGGACGTCCGAGCGATGCCCATGCAGCCTCCGAGGCTGGACGGAATCCGCATGTTGGAGAGGGCACCTCCCCCGACCCAGGGATTCGGCGACCGCGCGCCAAATCCATGGATCGCCACTCCGTGCTTGCGTCGGGCCGAACGAAAATGGGGGTATCGATGGGGAAAGGGGGTGTTCCGAAATCTGCTGCATGCACCTGGCCTCGGCCCCGCCGCCGGGTCCCTCGATGCATCGGCGCCTCCCGGCGCCGGGAGGCACTGGGAAAAGCAGCTGCGTGATCGGATTCTCGACCCTACCCTTAGGTATCCCCCCCTTACGGAGGTGGACAGACCTCCTATCCTGACACGTCGACTAAGGAATTGGCCGTCTGCGGTTCGCGAGAGGGCGTCACGGCCCTCATTTTGCAGGTCCAGGTCCGTCGGTTTCGGTCCTAGACCGTTTTCACTAAAGGGTGGTTTATTAGATGGAGGATTGTCCACCGCCGAAGGGGACTCAAGGGAGGTTTGTCCACCGCCGACCCTTTCGTTCCCCCCGAGACGGGACGAGCTCTTGGGAGCGCCGGTCAGCGCACGGGGAGGATCCTCGGGGCAGCCGCCCCGTGCGGACGCCCAGAGCGAGCGAGCGCCCGACGCACGCGATGGCGCCGCGCGGCCACGGGCCGCCGCCTCCGCAGGGCAGCCGGGGCACTTCGCCTCCAGTCGGGCGCGTCCCTCCACAGGAGGAACATGCAAAGATGGTCACACAATAAGCTGGGGACGATGTTTCGTTTTCTATATTTGCATATTTTTATGGTTTCAAATGTTC